GTTCAATTCAGATTTTTTTGTGAAATACAATTTTTTTTGCGTTGTTGTTCACATTTCCAATAAATGCGACTTCTATGTGATCTCCTGTGTGAACTGCATTTATACAACGCAAGTGTCCCGCATTCGCAGTAGAGGACGCAATGATGTCACAAGCCTGCATCCTCTGTGTTTACGGAAGTAAACATGGATGGTAGTGCCGAAGCGCATGTAGCGATCTTTCCCAACCCTAAAAACAAAATTTTTTGTATAGATACTACTCTCCGCATCATTGTCCACTAGGGTTTTTGTTTTTCATGCCACTTCTGCGCATCAAGACACAGAATACTGACCTTTGCCGGGTATTAATGACGTACAGGTTGGATTAATGCGACCTACCCGTTCAGACGCTGGTCGCATTAGGAAATATCAGATTCGTATCGGATTCAGGACCGCAGAGTCGGATTGGACAAAATGGGATCTGAGTTGTTCAGACTGTCATGAAAAGATCGGATAGAGGTCGCATATTGGCCAAAAAAAATCGGATTTGGGTCACTTCAGGCTGCCGTGTGAACGCAGCCTTATTTCTGCCTACTTAGACATAAGAATTCATTGGAAAGAATCCAACCAAATCTCTTCCATGCTAACCATGTTTTATGGCATCAAACACTCATTTTAGGGATAAATTCTCTGCTTCCTGGTCAACAAGATGGAAAAAGGAATCAGATGTTGGCGTTTTTCTTTGCCTCGATTGAATCTCTAAGCTTTTCACTCCTCTAGTGTTTCCAGGAACGGGGCTGCTTGGTATTTTCCCCAGGGGCTGGGCGGGGCTGCCAGAGTACCGGGTCAAGCCTCAGCATGCCGTCACTCCTCACTTGTTACAGCACTGAGAGAAAAAAAGTGACTCGCTATTCTTTGGTTTTCCTAACAGCCTAGAATGAGGAAAGCTGCAGTCTTTTAAGCTTAGAACATGATCGGATCTGCAGGAAAACTCCTCAAAGATTGAGGAAAGTAGATCTGAACTTTAAACATCCTTCACTGAAGGAGCCCAGAGTCTGCACAGGTCAGAATGCCAGGTTATAATCCCAATGGGATCTGAGCCGGATTGCATGTTCCTGCAGAGACAGCACCCATGCGGTTGGAAAGCATTGTTGACCAGGATTTGCATAAATTAAGATTTTGGTTCCTGGGTAGATCTAGATCATTCATTATTATGACAGAACAGAAAGAAATTACATTCAACTTCCAGTCCCGCCAATAATCCCAGAATGTATGGAGCTAGATCGGTCTCAATTTTCACAAACACACATATGTGATTCATACACGCACAGGACAGCATTCACCAAAGTATTTCTGATCTATAAACAATTACAAATTGAATTAAAAAGTACCAGTGATCTTTTTTTGAGACTGCCCTGACGTACCTCCATACACAATTTAATTCAGTTTATTTCTATAGCTCCAATTCACATCATGTCATCTCAGGTCACTTTCCAGTTCACCAGATCATCCAGTCAGATTGATTCAAAGTTTTCTATCTAAGGAAAACCAGCTGATTGCATCGACTCATTGACTCTTCAGCAATCCCTCACACTAAGCATGCTTGTAGCGACAGTGGAGAAGAAAAACTCCCGTTGAACAGGAAGAAACCTCCAGCAGAACCAGGCTCAGTGTGAGCGGCCATCTGCTGAGGCCCACTGGGGTTCAAGGAGACAGAAGAAGACAGAAAAAGAAGCATAGATATGACAAATTTTTTTTTAAACAGAGGATGATTTTCCACCAATCACAAAGCGTGCTTCTATAAGCCAATCACAAGAAAGTACTCTACGTCAGATGACTTACCCCCAGATCCCTCCGTATCCGTCCCACCCCGCTTTGCATGTCCTGTGCATGTATGCATCACATGTGCGTATTTGTAAAAATTGAGACTGATCTACCTCCATAGATTGTTCCTCATTCCTTATTTATCTGTGTTGACAAAAACTCAGAACACTATTTAAATTGTGTTGCGAAATCCATAGAAATATTTTTATTAATATTTCTGAGGGCTGCTCAGTGGCGCAGTGGGTAGCACTGCTGCCTTGCAGCAAGAAGGTTCTGGGTTTGATTCCCGGCATGGAATTTCCATGTTCTCCCTGAGCATGCATGGTTTCTCGCCGGGTACTCCGGCTTCCTCATACAGGAGGTTGATTGGCTTCTTTAAAGTCTCCTTAGGTGTGAGTGTGTGCGTCAATGCTTGTCTGTCTCTGTGTTGCCCTGCAATGGGCTGGCGGAGGATGGAACGGGACCACACGCATTTTTTTTTTTATGAACTATGTTTGTTTGTTTCTTTTGAAGTTATGAGATGCGCTCTTGGAAGTTTTGACTGGATTTGATTGAACTTTTAAGCCTCTCAGTATAAAATAAATATTTTTATAGAGATGAGAAATTTGCTTCCTCATATGTTGAAGCAACAATAGTTTGCACCCCATAATTAAATGAAAAGGTCTTAGTTTTGGGGAATATATACGAATAGTTGGCCTGGATGAATAGGTGAGGTCTTCTGTTCTCCTGTAAAGGGGTTGGGGATGTAATGATGTAATGATAGCAGGAAGAACTCAACTCTATCGCTGTATTGTATTTTTATGAAACATGAAATCTGAGTCCCCCCCCCACCCCCCCGTTTAAGGTTGGTTTTTCCTTCTTAACATAAATGGCTTCCTTCACGCCCCTCTCTAACCACCTGTTTTGGTCCAAAATATGAACATTTTGTGTTTGGAAAAATATTTGGAATGACTTCGACCTGGACGACTGAGAATCTTGACCAGCTAATCTAAAGGGTGGTTGATGTTGGAGCCTAACCCCCCCCGTCTTCCCTCTTGTTTGCAGCGGTGCCGTATCCCCCCGGTACGCGCCTGTCGGTCAAAGACCTGTATGCAGATGGGAAGCCCAGCCTGGAACTGCTGAAGGCCCATCTGGTGAAGGAGGGTCGGCTGGAGGAGGAGGCGGCCCTGCGGATCATTAACGAGGGCGCCAGCATCCTGCGTAAGGAGAAATGCATGCTGGAGGTGGAAGCTCCCATCACAGGTAACCTTCTTTCATATTGGCCTAAAACTTTGTGAATACAGCGGAGCTAGCTCCGTTCAAGGGTATAGAGCCAGCTGAAAGTCTGACCTTTGTCCTTTATGCTTTTATGAACACAACGTTAGATCTGACTCCACTGAGAGTGAGGTGGTGTCAGATATTGACACCACCTGATATTGATATTGTAAAATTAGAAACCTAGTTCTTATACATTTTTCAGTCCTGCTAAACGGATCTTGGACTGGTTCCAACAATAAAGGAAGACAAGTCCAAGATCCCTGTGTTACCCTGCGACCTAGGTAGGTTCCTTCCCCTCAGGGCTCACTCTACATGTTCTAGCTTTAGGACCGTTTTAGCCGAGAATAGGCTGTACCATTTTTTAATCGTTTCACGCAGCTACAGCTCACACTGTACGACAAAGCCGCAGGGTTTAAAAGTTCACAGCTCATGGTGTTTATTCTCACAATGTGCGGCCCGACGCTCTGATGCGATCTACCTGCTCACACTGAACGTCTAAAAACCACGTGGGACTCGGCACCGCAGTGAGATGGCGCTACTCGGACTCGTCTATCCGGAAGCTAAACGTCAATTTTGTGCTGAAAGCCCTAAAAAGAAAAGGAGACGACCTACCGTAATTTTCGGACTATTAGCCGCGCCGGGCTATTAGCCGCAGGTTTTTTTATGTTTAACACAAACTGTCTTTCGCTCGCAATGTCCGTCTTTCTCGCTGTCGTTCTGTCTCGTACCACTCGCGGTAGAAGTCTGCTTCCGGAGGACCTCCGCATTCCCGTGCGTGCGACTACCGTACTTGTGTGTTGAAGGAAATGTGACGTCAACATGGCGGATGGTAAAATCCATAGATTTAGGTATTACGCTAGTGGCCGTTAGCTGTAAAAGTCCATAGATAAGCCGCATTGTTATATAAGAAGCAAGGTTGAAAAATGAGGGGAAAAAGTTGTGGCTTATAGTCCGAAAATTATGGTATTTGGACAGACATGGCTGAGCCAACATGGCTACTACGGTTTGCCAATGACAGAAAGAACTCCATTTCACTCACACCCCGCCGTGCTTCTGTGTTTTCCTCTGAGAAGAAGAATCCTTGTTTGCCCACTGAGAGATTTACCCACGACCATCTTGCCATGGCCGACTGAATTTCAAACATGTTTGATTTTCTCCCGACCTTACGATTCCGTAGAGGCTGGTCGCCCCTCCTTACCCCCTGAATGCTACACGAACCGTGATCAGGCTGAAAGTCGGCCCGCCTGTTGAACCAGCTCGGCCGTTTCCTGCAGTCAGTTTAATGCCACTTCCGTCCTGTCGGAGGTTTCCTCCACCTTTGTATGTGTTCTCTCAGAACAGCGTACGCCGTCAGATCGGCATACATTGTTCTAATATAATATTCCCACATTGAACTTTAGCAGCAGTGTAACCGACCAGCTAAAACTTGTTTATTTTAACTTTTAAAAAAGACAGTCAGCTCTGATTCTACTGATATTTGTTGGATGTGGAAATGGTTAGACGCCTCTATAGCTAAAACCACATTAGTAAATATTAATTTAAAATAAGTTACTTTAGTGTGTGTGGGGAATTTACATTTGGTTACATTTTTTTTAAATGTTTAAAATAACAGCAAACATTGGCCGTGCTTCATATTGTGACTCAGAATGAATTTAGGTTAGATAAAAAGTAATCATATGCCAATCTAACTGCATAGATCTGCAGAGCAGGACAGAAAGAGACTTTAACAGACTGGTGAGAAGGTCTGATCTAGGCTGCACTCTGGAGGAAGTGACTGAGAGGAGGGAGCTGTCCATCCATCATGGACACCCTCTGCAGCAGACTGGAGAGGAGAGGAGCTGAGACTCAAACCGGGGGTCGGCAACCCACGGCTCCGGAGCCGCATGTGGCTCTTTAGCGTCCCCCTTGTGGTTCCCTATTTCAAAAACTTATGAAAATCCCTTTAGTCATGTACAAAAAACTATTTAATTACTTAATTTTTGGTGTTTTTTTTTAAGCCTATGGCAATCTGACCTTAAATTGTGTTTTTTTTTTTTTTTTTTTTAGGAATAATGTAAATCTGCTGTCTTGCGCATGCGTATTGACTGAGTATGGTGGTTATGACAGAACACTGGTCCTGTGGAGGACTGCAGTTTAAAACCTGTGCTCTAAACCTCATAATTCTAGACTTCCCCTTATTTGGGGCATGCAGATTAACTATATGTCTTCAAACTTAGAAACAAAGTCCAGTGGATTGTTTTTGAGTTTTTTACGGCACTAGTGGCTCGTTTTTTCGACAGTAGGCTGACAGGAAAGAGGGTATGAGAGAGGGAGAGACATGTGGCTAAGAACCACAGGCTTGATTCGAACCCGGGTTGCCTGCGTCGAGGACTAAGGCCCCGTACATGGGTCGTGCGCCCTAACCACTGTGCAAAAAAACATTTTTAGAATGACTAATACCCCACTTACACTATCCTTGAAAAACCGTGCCAAGACCGGTCCGGAAGTTGCTAGCCAACCAACACAAAACAGAAGAAGAAGAACAACAACTATAAACGACAATTGAAATCTTCTTCTTGTGTTTTATGGCGGTCGGCAAACAACTTTTGGTGCATTACCGCCACCAGCTGCTTGATTTCCTCCTTCAATACTGGCAGTAATACCGCAGATCGTCACTAGGAGGCGAGGAACGAGAGAGCACGATGTGTAAACGGTCGTCAGAACCGAGCTGGGCCTGGTTAACTGATCAGAGCACAGACCGGTCTCGGTGTAAATGTGGTAAAAGACCTGGATGATGCAGAATCTTCCCCAGCTTCATCAGAACATGTTCTACCAAATGAATTCTCTTTGTTGCCTTCAGGACGCCGCTATGTAACGCCTCGCTGTGAAACAAACCAGAGTCCCAATTCTTTTTATACCAACAGCAATTCAGCGTTTAAATGTAGGGAGGCTGGGTTTTTTTTAGTTTTTATTTGAAGCGTATTTGCTGGCCCTGAAATGAATGGTTTATGTTCAAATAAACATTTGGATAAATTTCTCACAACCAGATTTTTTTTTACTTTTTATTTCAAGTTACATTAAAAAGACTTGGTCCAGAATGTTGGGCTTTCTTCGGTGGGGCAGTGGTTAGAGCACACGACCCATGTCTGGAGGCCTTAGTCTGTGGTTCCTTGCCGCATGTCTCTCTCTCATACCATCTTTCCTGTCAGCCTACTGTCCAAAAAACAACAGTTCCTTGGACAGTAGTGTCACAATGGTGTCACTCGTGGACACACTGACACTGTTAGCTGCAGTGCTAATGGTCTTTAGTCTTATTTCCTCAGAAATCTGCTCTGGTTTTCACAGCAGCCCATCCTGATGGTCTCTGGGCCCCTGGAGCGGTTCTCCCGGAAGCCATTGAGATGTTAGCCGTCTCCAGTTCTCCATGTTGCTGAGTGTTTAGATGACCTGAATGCAGGTTTGTTTGTGTCCAGTGTGCGGGGACGTCCACGGCCAGTTCTTTGACCTGATGAAGCTGTTTGAGGTGGGTGGCTCACCCAGCAACACCCGCTACCTGTTCCTCGGGGACTATGTGGACCGAGGCTACTTCAGCATCGAGGTAGGAACACTTCACTTCCTGCTTTATGACCTTAAGTCTGGTACTGACCAGGAACGGTCAGTCGGAGCTTAAACATCTGAGCCTCTTCTGGTTCCTAAATGCAACACATGGCAGCTGCAGATGGAGAAAACGGTGTCACCATCCTGAGCTTCTTCTCACTGTCTGTCTTTAGAGAGAGAAGCTTCTTTGCCTTTTTACCTTGATAAATTTAGGTGTTTAATTTCTGTCCTTCGTTAGAAAATGAAGCCAGTTTAGAAAGGATTTCTGATTAGCTTCACTGAACTTATTAGTGAAGGCAATGGGATGTTCCTGCTGAACACAGCTGCTAAAGCTCCTGTCTCACCTTGATGATTTAGTCCAGCGTATGCCTGATGTATGGAAAATTTGGCAAAAACACTGGCATACGTTGGGTAAGTTAGCGATAAGTTTTGTACAAGTGATGAGCACGCTGAAGTACGCTGAAACACATCTACATACGACGAGTACGTCAAGAAATTTTGAACTTGGCCAGCGTACGCCATATCTGGGCGTAAGTTAATTCAATTCAGTTTGTTTCTATAGGGCCAACTCACAACACAAGTCATCCCAAGGCACTTTACAGT